CCCGCCACGGCCCAGAACAGGGGGCGCGTCTCCGCTCCCTCCACCTCCACGTCCCAGGCTGCGGGCGTGGCGCCTCTCTCTCTAAGCCCCTAGCCCGCAGCCAAAGAGCAGGGCGGGGGTCTTACCTCGGCATGGACCTCTGCGTCTTCGGCCGCTAGGCCAAGGCCCAGGCAGCCCAGAAGCACCAGGAGCAGCGGCAGCAGTCGCGGCCGCGCCGCCTCCTCCCAGTCGCCGAGGAGGCTGCCAGTCCAGCCCGGCCGTCCGGGCGCGCTCCGGTTGCTGCCCATGCTCTCGGCGCCCAGCCCGGCCCGGAACACTGCACGCCGGGTCCTCGCACGCGCCTTGGAAACTTGCGACGCTCCCTGGCTCCTGGCCCGGCGGGCGCGCCGCGCACCTCAGGCTCCCGGTCCCCGCTGGAGCCGCCTAGGTCGCCTCGGCAAATTCCCAAGCCCGAGGAGAAGCGGGCAGGGCAGGTCCGGGAGCTCGGAATCAGCGGGCGGGAAAGGGGGCCGGCCGGAGCTACCCCCCGCGGGGTCCCGCAGCCTTGGCGCCCAGAGCCTGGGGCCCGGCTCCCGAGAGCGAGCGCAACTCCGGAGCCTTTGTCTGGCTCAGCGCTCCGGCCGCCCGGTCCCGCGGCGCCCCCTGCGCGCCCAGCTCCCTCTGTCCATGCCCGGGGCCGGGCGCTGCCCGGAGCGCGTGCCTCCTGCCCGGGGATTCTGCTCGCCGCCGCGCCCGACCGGGCCCGGGTCCCCACGCAGTCCCGGGAGGAGGCGCAGGGAGCCCACCCGAGAGAGCAAGCGAACCAGCCAGCCAGCCAAGGAGCGGGCGCCCGACGTCCCCGGCGAGTTCAGCGCGGCTCCGGGCGCTCCCAGCCCTCCTCCCCGCGCGCCGCGGCCGCCGCGCTCTTAAAGGGCCAGCGTGCTCCCAGTGCGCGGACCCGGGCGGGGACCGGGGGCGGTGCCCCAGCCAGCGACTTCTCACGAGCAGGTGCGGGCGGCCGAGGCCCGGCAGGTGGGCGGCCCGTTTACTCTTCCCAGAGGGCGGGAAACGTCTCCAGCCCACCCCGCGTCACTCTCAACCCAGCGTCTGGGGGACAGGGGTGACCCCTAACGCGACCCCCCGCGGAGGGAGGAAGCAGGGAAGGCGTGGTCTCCCTGCCTGGGTGGAATGAAGACGACTCCTTACGGATCCTACCTGGTGGGTGGGGGGGATACTGAGGCTGAGGGGGACGGGAAGGAGGTCCTAGGGGAGGGACCAAAGAGTCGTTTTATATATTTATATGGAAATTTGTCAGCCTGAAGTCTCTTTTCAAAAGCCACAGGGTGTGTCTGGCCATTGAGTAACTTTCCTCATTATCAAAGTGAGGGTTTTGTGCGCGTCAAGGGCGCGTTGCGGCGGACAAGTGGCAGGTTTAGGAGGGACACGGTTCAAGTTCCGAGTCCGCCCATTAGCTGCAGCTTGCACGTGGGCAAATTAATCTCTCCGAGTCTCCATGTTCTTATCGGGAACGTGGGGCAAAGAGTTGGGGTGAGTGCGAGGTAAGGCTTCCGGTTCTTGGCCTGGCGCAATAGGTGCCCAAGCACTTTGGCCACTGGCTAGTGCGAGTGAAGTGCGACAGTGCGGCCCGACGCGGCGCGGGGCGGGTGGACACACCTCCCCGCGAAACTTAATGAGCTGGCGTTCATTCTATTCCGGAAGCAGCTTGAGGTCGGGGCGGGGTGGATGCAGAAGGCCAGAGCTGGGAGGCCCGGGTCGAAGGTCCACCGAGACCCGGGGGCCAGGCCAAGGGCAACCCTGGAGACTGACCGACGTGGTCAGTGGGTGAGGGCGGCAGGCAGGAGGGCGGAGACCGTATTCCTTATCTTCAGACCCGGAAATGGAAGCTGTCCTCACCTGAGGGCGGTTTTCTCTAGAGCAGGCCCGCGGGGCACCCCAGCCGGCCTCGCCTCCCGGAAACTGGATATCAGAAGACCTGGCAGGGCGCCTTAGAGAGCGCGCATTTGAACCCTCCTGGGGTGTCCTTGGGTAAAGGAAGTCGGAATTTAGAGAAAGGAACCGGGCAATTTCATCATTTCCACGGACTCACTTCTCTGTAGGATCCCTCATCTGGGAAGTGGGTTTCTAAATTCTCCACTTTGAAATTTGCTTTTGGGAAATGTGCAGTGGTCTTCAGACACAGACAACAGGGCTGTCCTTGTTTAACCGACCGCGTTGCACTCTTTCAAGATATTTAGTCCCGATTAGCCAATTTAAAAAAGTTTGGGGCTAGGAAAAGTGGCTCAAGCTTGTAATCCCAGCACTTTGGGAGGCCGAAGCGGCAGAATTGCTTTAGCCCAGGAGTTCAAGACCAACCTGGGCAACATGGCAAGACCCCATCTCTACAAAGAATATAAAAATTAGCCAGGCGTGTGTACATCTGTAGGCCCAACTACTTGGGAGGCTGAGGTGGGAGGATCACTTGAGCCCACGAGGTTGAGGCTGCAGTGAGCTATGATCATGCTGCTGCCCTTCAGCCCAGCTGACTCAGAGCGAGACCCTGTCTCAAAAAAAAAAAAAAAAAAAAAAAAGTTGGGGCTTAAGGGACTATTAGTGAGAGGAGCCTAGGAATGAATGGAGCAACATTCTTAAAGGCCTGGGTCAGTCAAGTCTGGTGATTTTCTCTCTGTTGGAGGTTCCTCTCTTGGGGTCCAATCCTGCCTTAAGGAAATGACATCCCCTATGACCATATCTTGAAGCTCCCAATTATTGGGTCTGGCTCCTATAGATACTTTGGGAATCCAAGGTGGATTTGCACCTACATCCAACCCAAGAGAGCTGGGTTTCTACTGGGTCTGGCCAGCACCCAAAGCCCAAAAGGACTAGTCAGTGGGACTGAGATGTGTGAACTCCAGCCCTTCCATCAGGAACTTTAAACCTTATCCATATTTTGCCAATATCGTTTCATCTATGCCCTGACACCCCTGCCCACCACCACACACCTTTTTTTCTTAGTCTTTTGAATGAAAGCCCAGACATGGTGTTTCACAGCAGTTTCATTTAGAGGTCCCGATGTGGTGTGAGGGGTTGTAAAAAGCTCTGGATCAGAAGCCAGGTCCCTGGGTTTTTGCCTCAGCTGTAATTTACTGGGCAATCGGAGCAAGTTATTCCCCTCTTTGGGTTTGTTTCCTCATTTGCGAAAGGAGAGTTCTGAGGTCGTAGGGGAGGTCTCCTGTTCGATGAAGGAAAGTAGCTGTGGGCTGGAACTGGGCCCAGGACACCCCCTCCTCCAGCTCTCCCCTCCAGGGGCCCCTCAGGCGATGCACCCACCCAACACACCATCAAAGGTGAAGCAGGCCTTGGGACTCTTGGTGCCAAGACAAGGAATAAACAAACAAGCCAAGGTAATTTCCCTCTCCCTTAGAAACAAAGCTGGGGTGGTCTGGAGAGGCGCTGGAGAGTGCCAGGTGGAAATCAGCCAAACAGGCGTGAGATGATTTCCCTGCCCTGTGGGGAACATCTGAGGACACCGAGGCCAGATGTGTTGATTTTGTACTCTCCCTGGTGTGATAAAATCCTCATCAAGAGCATTTCTTTGGGCCAGCCTGCCTGGCAGGGACTGCAGCCTGCTCTGGTCTTCCCTGTGTCTCCAGAGTTGTCTACGAGGTTTCTCCTCTTATGGAGAATCTCCTCTTATGGAAGAGCCCCGGCTGCTTCTGCACTGTCAGCGGGAGCGCTTGCTCAGCGGGCTCACTCTGCTCCAGAGGCACACTCAGTGTCTGGGTGCCCGCCAAGCTCCTGCCGCCAGCCTCCTCCTCAGGCCCAGCCTGCCCACCCCTCCCCCTCAGCGAGGCTCCTGCTTCCTTCCTTCGTTGCCACCTTCCATTCTCCATTGAGGAGCCGGTTATTGATCTTGGCCCATTTCTCAAAGTTGCTGCACTCAAATTCCATCCTCAGCACAGACGGACTCCCCAGCCACATCCTCCCCCGGGGGAATGGCCCCGTCCCTCTTCCTGGGCTTGTTGATGGAGGTCTTACCTCACACCTGCCCCCCTCCCAATAAGAGCCAGTACCCAAGTTTGGGGAAGTGCCATGTTGAGGATGCGGATTCTCTGTGCTCCCTGCCTGTTCAGCCCTGCTGTGAGCACCCAGAGGGCAGACCTAGTCTGGTTCACCAAGTGCCCAGTTCAGGGCCTGGCACAGGGCAGGTGTCAGTTAAGTACAGGCTGCACAGCCAGAGTTGCCGTGTTGCCTGCAAGCCAGAAAGGATGCCCTGCATCTTCCTCCTGTCCAGAAGAACCAACCCAATGATGAGTTGGAGTCAGCAGATCAATGCAGTGGGGAGCAGGAACAAGGCCCAGAATGTGCCTGGGTCTTTCAGTGCAGCGGCTGGGAGGCTGCCCCTTTCACGAAAGGCGGGGCAGTGGGGGCCACCATGGGAGCCTGGGCAACAGGCCCCTCTCCCCACACCTTTCCCTCAAGCCCTGTGTCCCCACTCAGATGCCAAGCCTGACCATGAGGTGGTGTGCTGGGCTGGATCAAGGCTGCCCCAGCACAGGACCTGAGGTTAGGGCTGAGTACGGCCCTTCCTTGTGATTTCTCATACAAGCAAGTCACTTAACCTGTTCTTTTAACAGCGGACTAGCCATCCCCACCCTGTTTACCTTTCAGGGGGGATACTGGGAGGAAGACACGAGAAGGTTCCGGGAAGCGCTCAGTGTCACAGCAGTATAAGGTGTCATTGTCTGCCTATGTGGGTGAGGGATGAGGGTGGTGACCCCTGCCACATGCCTAGCTCCAGGCTAGGTGTGCTATGTAAGAACTCTGTGTGTAGACCTTGCAGGCCGGGTGACTCCTCCCTACCCTTATTTTACCAAAGCATCATTAATGCCTCTCAAGGCCACCTTGGAAGTCACAGCAGAGACTTCCAAGAGTCCCCCCAAACTGAGAGACACAGCTGGACAGGGTAGGGGAAGGTGAAAGTCATCTTTTCACTGGGTTAAATACAAGTAGTCCAAAAAAGATCCAAAATAAAAAATGCAATTTTTTATTTGTTGAACATAATTTAAAACTGTAACATAAAAAGATTTCTCTATCCATCACTAGAAATCCAGAAGACACCTGAAGAGGACTGACTGTTTCCTTGCCACGCAGAAGGTTTGATGAAAAAGTTAAAATCCCATGCATCCCTGGCCCTTCCTCCACGTTGCCCCTCAGAATGCTGCAGCTGTAGCAGGCAGGAGGCAGCAGCAGAACCCGGGCTGTGAAAGGCCCCTCTGCCTCTCTGGGAAAGCTGCTGGGGAAGCCAGAGGTCACAGTGCATTGGAGGCCTGGCTTTCAGCCACTGGCCAGGCCAAAATGAAACATCTGTTCAAGTCTCCCCAGGCACCTTGCTAGGGTGAGCGGGAGAAAGAAGTGGAGAAAACTGAGGCTGGGTCACAAGTTCTCATCCTGGACCTTGGCCTTGAAGTAGCCCCTGCTGGCACAGGAGCAGGGTGAGAGTAAAAGTAAATAAATAAAAGCGACATGCTTCAAGGAGAGAGGGTGACAGACCCACTGAAGCACCCCGTGTCCTGGCTTGGCCAGGGATAAGCCAGGGCGTGATGATTTAAAACACTCTGATCTGAGGCCAATGGCATCAAAATACAAATTGCTGAAGTGGGAGAGGGAGTGAAGGGCTGTTTGTTAGGGGACTACAGTGGAGATTCTGGCGAGTGTGGGTGGGCTCACCACTGACCCCAGTATTTTCTTTGCTTAACAACCAGAGTAAGAATTAGGATGCCCAGGCTGCCCTCTACTGGCAGTTTCTGGGAAGGTCCACAACACAGCCGCACCCAACCTGCAACCCACAACAGCCAAGAGGAGAGAAAGAAAGAGGAGAGGAAGAGAGAGGGAGGGGAAGAGAAAGAGGGGGAGAGAGAGAGAGAGAGAGCGAGAGCGAGCACTCAGGGAGGATGAGGAGTAGCTACACTTTCTGCCAGGCTGAAGGCATGGCTGGGACCTCCTACTGGGAGGCTAGAAGCATCTCCATTGATTTTAGCAGGTTCCTCCATCTCAGCCTGGTCTGCAGAGGGCCCTGGAGGAGGAAGACCTCTGGTGCTCACTTCAAAGGCATCGAGAAGAACTTGTTCCCAGACTTGCAGCGGACTTGCTCGACGTGCACGCGCAGCAGCACCTCAGCATCTTCAAACCCATCCACGATTGCCTTAAAACAGCAGCCAGGGGAGGACAGTCACATTAAGGGGCATCTGGGACCCAGAGGGCACTGCAAACAAAGCCAGCTCACCCAACTTCAGAGGCTGGGCGAGGCTGAGGCTGCAGGCTCCAGGCTCTGCATTTATTGATCTTGTCTGATCACTTCTGTAACATCTGAGGTTGGTCCCATCATCCCAACTTTACAGATGAGGACACAGATGCTCAGAGCCCTGGATTACAGAAACCAATAAAACCAGGCCTGGGACCCAGGTCTGCCGGAGCCCAAACTAGAGCTCTTTGCCACCTCCAGCAACATCAGGCCAACAGCAAGGCGGCTCCTTAATGAGGGAGCACAGCTGTGTCCAGCCTGCACATGTTTGGTTTGGCTTGCAAAATGTTTTTTAAATATCCAAATTAGTTGCTGACATTTGAAAACTGACAAGATTACATGTAAAAACCTAGGTTTCTGGCTTCTCTTATGAAGCAGAAGTGTTGGCAACTCTAGGCCAACCTTCCTGCATGGCCACACTCCCTACTGTCTCCCCAGCTGGGGCTGGAGTATCAGCCACCACTTACCACTTCACGTAACCTGCTGGTTCTCCTCCAAGAATGCACACGGGAAAGTGGAATCTTTCAGCTACTTATCAAAATCTGATAGACTCTGGGGGCTGGATGTTCCTTACACCTGGTACATTTCACCCATTTCCAGTGCCAGGCCCAAGCCTCTGACCCCTGGGCAAGTGGCTAGGACTTCAGGGGAAGCCTGCAGCCTCCTCGCAGATCAGGGTTCTAGGGCAGTGCTTCCCAAACTGTAATGTGCACACAAATCCCTAGAGATCTGTTAAAATGTAATTCTGATTTCTTAGGTCGGGGGTGGGGGGGGTAAAGATCTGTATTGCTAATAAGCTTCAGGTGATGCTGAAGCTGCCAGTCCAGGGGCCACACCTTGAGTTGCAAGGGAAGGTGTTGGGGTCTCCTGCCATGTCATTTGTTTCCCAGGGATTCGGGTTTGGGTGCCTCATCCTCCTCCTCTCCAGCATCTGTCCCATCATTTCTGGAGTTCAGTGTGCTCTGTGCTCCCGCCCTGGAAATTCACCTGTAGTTCCTGCAGGCACTGCCCCTCCAGCTGGAGACGTGCATCACCCACACACCAGGCCAGGCTGAGGTGGAAAGAAGGGTCCTGGGGAGGGAAACGAGAGGCAGGCGGTCACCTGGACACCTTGGCAGGCCCTGCCATCACAGCAGGTCTGTGACAGAGCTGTCATGACGTCCCTGCTGGATCCCTGGCCTGCCCAGTGGGAGACAAGATCCTCAGTGTTGATCCCAAGCACCCTCCACAGATGGACAAAATAGCATAGGACTGGTCCTTGCTATGGACTGAATCATGTCCCCTCCCCCAAATTCATGTAGCCCTAACCCCCAATGTAATAGTATGTAAAGATGGGGCCTTTGAGGGGTAATTAGGGTTAGATGAGGTCATGAGGGAAGGACCCTCATGATTAGTGCCCTTTAATCACAGAGAGCTTGGGCACTGCTCTCTCCCTGCAGCCCCCGACCCCTGCCCCACCACGTGAGGACATGGCTAGAAGGCAGCCATCTATAAGCCAGGAAGAACCCTCACCAGAAACCGACCACACTTGGCCGGGTGCAGTGGCTCACGCCTGTAATCCTAGCACTTTGAGAGGCCAAGGCAGGCGGATCAGGAGTTTGAGACCAGCCTGGCCAACACGGTGAAGCCCCGTCTCTACTAAAAATACAAAAATTAGCTGGGGTGGTGTTGCACACATGTAGTCCCAGCTGCTCGGGTGATTGAGGCAGAATTGCTTGAACATGGCAGGCGGAGGTTGCAGGGAACTGAGAATGCGCCACTGCACTCCAGCATGGGTGACAGAGACTCTGTCTCCAAAAAAAGAAAGAAAGATATCAACCACACTGTCACCTTGATCTTGGACTTGTAGCTTCCAGAACTGTGCAAAAATAAATTTCTGTTATTTAGGCCACCCAGTCTATGGTATTTTGTTATGACAGCCTGAGCTAAGACAGTCCTATTCACAGAGGCTTTCCTTGAAGTATCATAGAGAGTCATTACATCTGTGACGTGAAAGAAAATCCACCCTTTATTCTGATCTAGGACATTCCAGTATACACCATACTTTTCAGATGACATGAACAAAATCCCCAAAGTCTCAAGTTTTGAAGCAACAATAATTGTCTCCATTCAAATTCATACTTATCTCCCTCAGCACGGTATAAAAACATACACCAAATAAAACGAATGGCCCTTCAAAGCCCTGATAGTCGACTTAGAGCCCAGGTGCCCTTGGAGGGCCTGGGCAAAGTGCAGGAAGGTGTGTGAAGCTACAACTCTTCTCTGAGGGTCAGTTTGACCAAAAATTATTAGGGACGTCTACTTAAAAAATGTGAAAACAACATGGGAACATAATGGAGCAGAAGGTACAAACCTCGGGCGTATTTATGATATAAAGCAAGATTTCTAAGAAATGTTGGACTTTGGGTGGGCTGCATCTGACTACACCTCAAAGCCCTCACTCCCGAGGTGTGCATCCTCCGAAGGCTGGCATTCAGAGCACTGACACGGGAGGTTCTGAAGGGTCTTCAGTTTGCCTCTTATGAGGGCCTCTTTAAAGACAGTTTTATTCTCATTAGAAATGGGTCAGTGGAGAAGCAGCAGCCTCATTCATTACCTGGTAGAAAGTAGTGAGGTCGAATTCCTCCATGACTCTGTCCACCTCTGAAACTAGGTCCAGGAACTGGGCGTGCCCTGAAGTGACCTCGAGCCCAATAAAGGTCCTGGGGAGAGGAAGACAACACAGGCATGAGATGCAGCCTCTGAGAACGCCAGCCATCTGCACAGCCGAGGAGAAGCCAGGCAGAAAGCCAACAGACCTGGGCCGTGGGTCTCACCCTGTCTCCCTGGTACACTCGCTTTCCTGCTCCATGAGCCAACTCTCTCAGTCCCCAGATTCTCTGTCTGTAAACCTTCCTTTCCCAGTTCTCACCCACACAGCTCTCCTCCCTCTCCTGGATGTAGTAACCCTTCCAGGAATGCCTTCACCCACCACTACCAAGACACAAACCCAGAAGCTTCTGCATCTCCATTCTCCATTCTCCATCACCGTTCCAATTGCAAACGACTCCTGTCCTCAAGGAGGCCTCTTCTCAAGGACTTTGCTTCCTGGCATCTGCCACGCCTCCCACAAGCACTCACACATGCTCTCTCTCGTCTTTAAAAACTCTCCCCTGAACCCACGGCTTCAGCCAGTCCCCATCCCATTCTCAGTAAAACTTCTCAAAAAGACAATTTGTCCACCATCACTATCTCTTTTTCACCTCCCATCTTCAACCCACTTTGCTGGAAGTGCTCTTGTCAAAGTTGCCAACAACCTCCATGTTACCAAATCCAAGGGACACTTTGCTGACTGCCTCGTACCTGCTCATCAGTATCTCACACAGTGGACTCTTCCCTCCTTGAAACCCTTTTCTCTCTTGGCTCCCAAGACACCACCTGCCATGCAGTCTTGGTTTAATCCTGCCTCCTGTCTCCCAGTTCAGTGTCTTCTGCCATCCTCTCTCCTCTCCAGCCTCCCCATGGTGAAGATCACTGGATCTCCTCCATTTGCAATCTCCAGGAGGCTGTTCTCACCCAGCCCCGCTTCCCACACTGGCCAACATTTCTATCTCCAGCTGGTCCCTCTCCTGAACACCCAGTTGTATATGTGACATTTCCACCTAGGGGTTCAATAGGCAGCAAAACCTAGCACGTACAAACAAACAGGTACAAAGCAGAACTTTTGATTTTCATCCCACCAGTGTCTCCTATCACAGAAAATGGGGCCAGTTGTTCCAGCCTCAAACCCAGGAATCAATGTTCATCTTCCCCGTGCGTCACATAAATCCAACCCATTGGTAATTTGGTTGCTTCTGCCTCAGTGTATCTCCAGTGTGTCCACCTCTTGGTCTTCCACAGCCATCACCCTAATCTAGGCCACCAATGTCCCTCACCTGGACAATGACACTTGGCTCCTCTCTGGTTTCCCTGCATTCACTCTTGCTCCCTTCTATCTTGCCCCCAGACTCCATGGCCACAGACACACCATCTAGCCAGACTGACATCCCCAGATACACATCAGATCATGCCTCTCCTCTGTTCACATCCCTCCAATGGCTCCCATTATACTGAAAATTCAAACTCCTTACTTGACATTGCAGCCCCTGGATAGGCTAACCCTGCCCATCTCATCTCCTATCATTCTCCCACGTGCTCTCTGGGGTTGGCCTCACTGGCCCCCTCAAACACGCTGAAATCTTCCCTGCCTCGGAGTCACTTAGTTTGCTATGTCCTCTGCTTGAAGCTCTTGCAACAGCTCTTCCCAAGACTGGCTTCTCATTCTCAGGTCACCATCAAATGCCATCTCCCTGGCCACTTCCCTGGTACCCTCCTGGACTACCCACTCCTAACCATCATATCACACCACAGTTATTAACAAACACTCTCATTACTTATTAGCTGTTTCCCCTCCGAATATGAGATTGCAAAGAGCAGGGCCTGTGTCTACCTCTTCACTGATGAATCCTTAGCATACAGCAAATGCCTGGCACAAGTGGGTGCTTAACAAACTTGTGCAGCATGGAATAAGTGAACGAATAAATGAGGCCCCTTTCAGAAGTGCTCAGAAAAGGTGGCCCAGTGAGAGTGTCAGACAGGGAGGCTCGCTTTGCAGGCAGGATAATCATTTCTTCTTATGTTCATCTAACACTTCAATACTTTTAACTTTTCAAAGGCCTTGGGGCTCACCTGAGCCTTACAACTGCCCAACAATGGATGTTGGGAGGTGTGTGCCAGTGTGAAAACGAAAGACAGAGATGAAGACATGGACCAAACACCACAACTGGGATGGAGCTGGGCAGAAACAGGTTTTCTGAGTTTCACAGGTTTTCACTAAACCAAGATGCTTCTCTCAATCTCTGTGCAACACCCCCACATACTCCCCCAGTCATTATTTATTTATTTATTTATTTATTTATTTTTGAGACAGAGTTTCGCTCTTGTCGCCCAGGATAGAGTGCAGTGGCATGATCTCGGCTCACTGCAACCTCCTCCTCTAGGGTTCAAGCGATTCTCCTGCCTCAGCCTCCCCAGTAGCTGGGATTGCAGGCGCCTGCCACCACATCCAGCTAATTTTTTGTATTTTTAGTAGAGATGGGGTTTTGCCATGTCGGGCAGGCTGGTCTTGAACTCCTGACCTCAGGTAATCTGCCCACCTTGGCCTCTCAAAGTGCTGGGATTACAAGCGTGAGCCACCGCACTTGGCCTTTTTATTTATTTTTTTGAGACAGGGTCTCACTCTGTTGCCCAGGCTGGAGTGCAGTGGTGCAATCGTGGCTCACTGAGGCCTTGACCTCCAGGGCTCAAGCGATCCTCCCATTTCAGCCTCCCAAGTAGCTGAAACTACAGGCACACACCACCACACTCAGCTAATTTTTGTATTTTTCATAGAGACAGGGTTTGGCCATGTTGCCCAGGCTGGTCTGGAACTCCTGAGCTCAAGCTATGCACCTGCTTCAGCCTCCCAAAGTGCTGGAATACAGGCATGTGCTACTGCACCTGGGATCTCCCAGTTATTTTTCTTAATGAAAGGTTCAGATTTGGGGATAGCTGCCTTTGTAGTCATTGAGTTGGTTAAAAGCAAACAAAAAACGGGACAAATAAGTCCAGAAACAAAGCACTCAATTTTTGCACCAAAGAATCTTCCTCTAATAGTGATTGGGGGTTGGGAAGACCCACCTGGTTTTCTCTTGATTGGTGTAAATCTTTACCTGGTTGGCAGTAAAGAAGAATCTGAAATGTAGAAGACCATATTTCAGGAAAAATCATAAGAGAAAAAGCAGAAAAAATAGCTTATGTTAAAAAAAAAACAAACAGCACTTTGAAAATATAGTTAACTCATTTTGCACTTAATATTATCACCCCATTATGCAGATAGTATACTGAATCCTAAAACATTAGATCTGGACAAGACGTTGAAATCACCCAGCCGGAGTAACATACAACATCATCCAGGTGCTAGTAAAAATTTTACTTTGTTAATAGCAGTTCATTTCGATAAACAATTTGAGACTATCTCAACTCTACTGATGGGAACTGAGAAAGCCATATTTATCAAGTAGGTGATAATGGACCACTTAACAGCTGATTCATTTCTTGCAGTTTTTTTAAAAAAATAGACAACTCCGATTTCATCTAAGCAATCACGAGAACATTTCTTCGTGTGTCAGGGCTGAGCTCAAGCCTTGGCACACATCTGTTTCTCGAATCCTCACACAACTCTGTGAGCAGGCCTACAATTATGCCCATTTTACAGACAAAGAAACGGAGGCATGGTGAAGCTGAATTTGGTGAGCCAGGATTTGCACAGTCAGTCTGCCTGTTTCCAGAGTCCTTGCTGTCACCTATGACCCTTTAGTGAGGGGAAGTAGGTCTCTGTTGGTGTGAAATCGAGACAGATGCCCCCACCCACCCACCCCTCATATCAATAACACAGAAAGAGTCAGGCTCAGCCAGGTAAATGCTTTGACTTGGACTGGTTCTGTCCTTTGTTCTCTGAGACACTAGCAATCTCACCATAGAAAGTCCCGTCACAGAAACAGATCATTTTACAGCCCCCAGGCCAAGGGGCTCACCCCTATCTGAGGGAACATAATATACCAGCATGCTAGGGAGAGTCTCACAATCTGCCCAAGGGCAAAAGTCAGTCAGCCAACTCTCTGCCTCTGGGGAAAATGTAAGGGATCACAGAACCACCAGGAGCTCAATGAAGCGCAGCTTTTAGGAAGAGTTCTCAAGGTGTCTCCCAAACATCCTGGAGTGGACATTGGATGTCTGTGCCCAACCAACACCCCTTCTCCTGGTAACCTCCTGTTGCAAGATGGCTCTCCATCCCTACTCCAGAGGCAGGCTGCCCAGGTCTGGCCAAGCAGAGCTTAGCATCTCCTCAGTCACAGCAACAGAATCAGGGGTGCACTGCCCACTCTTGGTCACCTTAGGCTCAACCAGATGATCGAAGTTGAAGAGACCACACCTGGCCAGGCTTCACTCGTGACACAGAGCAGTGACAGATCCTTTCCTCAGAGGGAACCAGCCCAGGGGTCCGGTCCAGGTGCTGTTTTCTAGTCTCCCAGTGAGCAAGGGAACCAGCCACATATACATCCCACAGGGATCAGAATTTCTTGCAATGGACTTTAGGCAGAATTTTCAGAAGTCCCAGCAAGGGACTCGTGCCCAGTTAAGGAACCACTGTATGCAGGGGAGCCTAGGCCGTGGAGTCCCTGCAGGGGCGCAGTTCACGCGTCTTCCCAGCGCAGGTGCAGTGTGCCAGTCATCAGCACTAGCTCTCCTCCATCCAGGGAAGCTGCTTCTGCAGGATAAGGGAAGCCCTCTGTGTGCAAGGGGGAAGGGCCTGTTAACTCTTTACTCCTAAAGAAAGCGCACAGGAGCCGGGTCAGACCAGGCAGTCATTTCTGTGACTTGTGCTGAAGCTAATCAGAGAGGGAGGCTGTCTTTCCAGGCTGGTACACCATCAGCCCGGAGATGTGATGGCTTCATCATTGTGACAAAGGAAGGGGACAGAGCTGAGATGGTGACAGTCAGGTGCCATGTGATATCTTGTTACCCCGGTCCATTCATGCATGAGCCAGTGCTACCTCTGAATCTTTCAGTTATACCAGCCTATAAATTTCTCTTTGGTTTAAGCCACTTTGGGTTGGGTTTCTGGTACCTGTGGTTAAGACAGTCCTGATAGTATACATATGGCTCAATCAATTTGATAATGACAATCCAAAGAGGGGGAGGGCTGGACTAGGTTGAGAGATAAGTTTGAGTCCTGATTCCCCGGCCAAGTGACTGGATTGGGACAAATCCTGTCCTCCTCTGGCCCCCAGAAGGGGTTCAACTAACTGAGCAGTTTCCCAGCTGGGCAGTGACATCCTATGGAATTCCCGGGCCTATGGCCCCCTGAACTGTGGGAGTAGGGCTTTGGCTAGAAGACTGTTTATTTCTGTTTTACATAGCCACACACCAGGCTTTTGTGCAACACCTCATTTGAAAAAAGGCTCTGCTGATAAAGGCATGGTCAGAAAACCACCAGCTGGGCGGCTTCTTAGGCTCCTTCTAGTACCAACAGTAGACGATCCAGAAAGATATTCTCTGGGTTCCCTCATTCCCGCCTCATGACTCCACAAGCATCTATTTGATGTCTTTGTGAGCAGAGCACTAGGGAAAAGCTGTGGGGTAATTCAGAGAGAGGCCACAGTCCTGGCCTGGAGGAACGGGGCTTCCAGGAGGGAAGATGGACACAGGAATGACTGCATATGAGGGTGAGTGAAATGACCACCAGGGGTAAACAACCACAGGACCGACTGATCTCTGGATGGAGGGATTCTGCAGGAGATGCCAACCGGCAGAGCTTCAGGGAAAGAGCAGGATTTTGATCTGGACCAGTCTAGCAGGAGATGCATTTCTGGTAGGAAAAGAGTTATAAAATAACACAATAGGTAAGGGGGAAAAAAAGCCCCAGGTTGGCAGACAAAATCAGAAGTGGGGTCTGGTACTAAGCCTTCACCCAAGTGGTGTGCTGAGGGCACCCATGATCTCCTTTCACCCCCACAAGCCCCCAGTGAGGTAGCCCCCACCACTACCATGACCTGTTTGACCTATTATTGTGAAATGATAACGTATGTGTTGGTCTCAGCCTCCAGTTCCTGACACAGAGATCCTAAAACCTATGTCATTTCCTAAGCAGTGGGGGTGCTAGGAGCATCTTTTGTTCTATTATCTGGTCTGTGACCCTGGCTCCTGACACAGAGCTCCTAAATCTTTTGGAATTTCCTGGGTGACAGGAGCATCTTTGGTTCTGATGAGGCAACTCTCAGTGGCCTCCTGGATGGGGGCCGATCACAGAAAGAGCAAGGCATGATGAGAAGCTGGAAACTTTCAGCCCCACCCCCTATCCTCCTGGGATGGGAGGGAAGCTAGAGACTGAGTTAATAATCCATCATGCCAACATGATGAAGCCTCTGTAAAAATTTGGAACTACAGGGTTTGAGGAGCTTCCCTTGGTGAATAAGAAGGCACCCATGTGCTGGAAGGGTGGCTCACCCCCAACTCCACAGGGTCAGAAGCTCCCATGCTCGGGACCCTTCCAGACCTCACCCTACCTCTCTCTTCATGTGGCTGTTCATGTGTATCCTTTGTAATAAACTGGCAACCTCGTAAGTGGACTGTTTGCCTGAATTCTGTGAGCCATTCTAGCAAATGATCAAACCTGAGGAGGGGGTCCATAGAATCTCTGATTTGTAGTGAAATCAGACAGATGTTGTGGGTAACCTAAGAGCTCAACACTGCAGATGGTGTCTGACATGGAGCGCAGTCTTGTGGGACTGAGCCCTTAGCCTTTGAAGTCTGCACTAACCCTGGGTGATTAGTGTCAGAATTGAGTTCGATTATAGGACACCCAGTGGGTGTCTGTAGAGTTGGATAATTTGTTGGTGCGGAAAAAAACTCTACACATCTGGTCACAGAAGTGCTGGAAATACTGAGCGAGGGCTTACAGAGAAACAGCTGGCTTTTCCTACAGAGCAGATAAGGCATCAGGGGTGTCAAGAGCTTCCACGGCATGCCCAAGGTCACGCAGGACAAGAAGTGGAGCAGGCAGCCCCAGGAGAGGGTCCGTGTTCTATCTTTAGGTCTGGCCTGCCTGCTGGGGTAATGCCCGCAGTAGCTCAGAAGAGGAGGAGAAGTCATGGAGGGGAGGGAGCGGAGCGGCAGAGGGAAGCACTCACCTCTGGAAGGAGGCCATGCGGACTTTCAGAGCCTGCACAAAGGGGAGGATCCAGTGGTGGCGCAGAACCACACTCTGGGACAGGCTGAGGTGGAACGCTTCCATCCTTACCAGGCGGGGGACATATGTCTGGGCATGGGGGAGCAACACGTCAAGCAGATCCAGGAACTCCTCCTTGGCTTCATCTGGAGGAGAAGAGTAAAGAGGGCAGGCCGTTCTCTCAGCCAAGGTGCCATGGCTGAATGAAGAAGCCCAGAAGGCAGACGGAGGTCCTTATTACTCTGGGTTTGGGGAGAAAATTACTTGGACAGCAGTCTATGTTTATGTCTTCTAATATAATTTTATTTTATTTTATTTATTTATTTTTTTAGATGGAGTCTCACTCTTGTCGCAGAGGTTGGAGTACAGCGGCACCATGTTGGCTCACTGCAAACTCCGTCTCCTAAGTTCAAGCAATTCTCCTGCCTCAGCCTCCCGAGTAGCTGGGATTACAGGTGCCCACCACCACACCCAGCTAGTTTTTATATTTTCAGTAGAGACGGGGTTTCACCATGTTGGCCAGGCTGGACTCGAACTCCAGACTTCAAGTGATCCACCCGCCTCAGCCTACCAAAGTGCTGGGATTACAGGCATGAGCCACTTCTAATAGTATTTTAATAGGCATTTCTGGGAAGTCCCAGCTAGAACAATCAGACAAGTGAAAGAAACAAAAGGCATTCAAATTGGAAAGGAATAAGTAAAATTATCCTGCTTGAGGATGATATGATCTATTTGTCTTTTTTGCTTGTTTTTGTTTTTTTGAGAGTCTTACTCTGTTGCCCAGGCTGGAGTGCAGTGGCTTGATCTCAGCTCACCGCAACGTCTGCCTCCCAGGTTCAAGCAATTCTCCTGCCTCAGCCTCCTGAGTAGCTGGGACTACAAGTGTGTGCCACCACATCTGGCTAGTTTTTCTATTTTTAGTACAGATATGTTTTCACCATGTTGGCCAGGCTGGTGGTCTTGAACTCCTGACATCAAGTGATCTGCCCACCTTGGCCTCCCAAAGTGCTGGGATTACAGGCGTGAGCTACTGCGCCTGGCCTGATCTTATATTTGGAAAAGCCTAAAGACTCCACCAAAAAACTATTAGAACTGATAAATTTAATAAAGTTGCCGGATACAAAATCAGCATACAAAAATCAGTAGCATATCTACATGTCAACAATGAACAATCTGAAAAAGAAATCAAGAAAGCAATCCCAATTGCAATAGCTACAAATAAAATAAAATACCTAGGAGTAAACTTAACAAGAAGTGAAAGATCTCTACAATGAAAACTATAAAACACCGACACAAGAAATTGAAGAGGATACAAAAAAATGAAATGATATTCCATGTTCATGGATTGGAATAATCAATAGTGTTAAAATGTCCATACTCTCTAAAGCCATCTACACATTCAATATAATCTCTATCAAAATACCCATGACATTCTTCACAGAAATAGAAAAAATAATCTAAAAATTTATATAAAACCACAAAAGACCCCAGAATAGTCAAAGCCATCCTGAGCAAAAAGAACAAAACTGGAGGAATCACATTACCTCAGATTATACTACAGAGCTATAGTAACCAAAACAGCCTGGTACTGGCCTAAAAACAGACACACAGACCAATATAACAGAATAAAGAACCCAGAAATAAATCCATACATCTACTCTGAACTCATTTTCAACAAAGGTGCCAAGAATATACACTGGAAAAAGATAGTTTCTTCAATAAAAGGTGCTGGGAAAACTGGATATCCACATGCAGAAGAATGAAATTAGGCCTCTATCTTTCGCCATATACAAAAATCAAATCAAAATGGATTAGAGACTTAAATCTAAGACCTCAAACTATGAAACTACTACACATTGGAGAAACTCTCCAGGACATTAGTCTGGGCAAAGATTTCTTAAGTAATTCCCCACAAGCACAGGCAACCAAAGCAAAAATGGACACAAGGGATCATATCAAGTTAAAAAGCTTCTGAACAGCAAAGGAAACAACAAAGTGAAGAGACAACCCACAGAATGGGAGAAAATACTGGCAAACTATCCATCTGATAAGAGATTAATAACCAGAATATATAAGGAAATCAAACAACTCTATAGGAAAAAAAATCTAATAATCCAATTTAAAAATGGGCAAAATATCTGAATAGATAATCTCTCAAAAGAAGACATATAAATGGCAAACAGGCATATGAAAATGTGTTCAATATCATTGATCATCAGAGGCATGCAAATTAAAACTATTAACTAGCTATCATCTCACCCTAGTTAAAACGGCTTTTATTCAAGACAGGCAATAATAAATGCTGGTGAGGATTTAGAGAAACACTGTTGGTGGGAATGTAAATTAGTACAGCCATTACAGAGAACAGTATGGAGGTTCCTCAAAAAACAAAATAGAAATACCATATGACCCAGAAATTCCACTGCTGGGTTTGTACCCAAAAGAAAGGAAATCAGTATCTCGAAGAGGTATCTGTACTCCCATGTTTATTGCAGCACTATTCACAATAGGCAGGATTTGGAATTAACCTAAGTGTCCATCAACAGACAATGGATAAAGAAAATGTGGCACATATACAACATGGAGTACTGTTCAGCCACAAAAAAAGAATGAGATCCTGTCATCTGCAACAATACGGATGGGAACTGGAGGACATGATGTTACATGAAATAAGACAGGCACAGAAAGACAAATTTTCCATGTTCTCACTCATCTGTGGAAGCTAAAAATTAAAACAATTGAACACACAGAGATAGCAGAAGGATGGTTACCAGAGGCTGGGAAGGATAGTGGGGGTGGGGCAGGTAGGGTGAAGAATGAGGATGGCTGATGGGTACAAAAATATAGTTAAATACAATAAATAAGATCTAGTATTTGATAGCACAATAGGTGACTACACTCAGCAATCATTTTCTGTACATTTTAGAATAAGGGAGTACAACTGGAATGTTCATAACACAAAGAAATGATGAATCCTTGAGGTGATGGTGCTCCATTTACCCTGATGGGATAATTACACATTGCATACCTGTACCAAAATAGCTCATGTACTCCATACATACATACACCTACAATGTACCCAAAAAATTAAAAATAAAAAAATTTAAAGTTTTGTTATTTTTTCTTTAAAAAATAGGTGTTTCTGGTTATAGAAATAACACATGCTCATAGTAAAAAATTGAAATTAATAAGCAATAAGCAGGAGACTTCCAGTTTCCGGTCCAGCATGTAAGATGCTTAGAAGTCGCCACCTCATCCTAACAACAAGCAAAACGCTGAACAAACTGAAAAAGCAACAACTATTCTTAGCTGCATAAGAGACGTGAGGTCACAGGGCAAACTGCTGCCCCCAAAATCAGAGAGACCAACAGGCAAATACAGAGACTCACAAATTACCAGAGCAGAAACCTACAACAAGCTGAAGGCTCTGCAGGAACCAGCAGCAGGGTAGGGAAACCTGAGCTGTAATCGACAACCTGCTGGAGACTCAGTGTGTACAAATCTGAGTTAAAAACGCCAGGGGAACTCTGTCGGTGGGGGCACCCGCATTTTTGTGAGGTTTACCTCCTAGATGTCTACCAGGCTATTGCAGTGAATACTGGAAAAAATATCCTGTGCTTCTGGCTGGGGAAGGGGGAAGGCAACCATTTGGAAACATATAGGAGCATCCTGTTTTTCTCCCCCCCTTCTTTTTTTTTTCTTTGAGACGGAGTCTCACTCTGTTGCCCAGGCTGGAGTGCAGTGGCACGATCTCTGCTCACTGCAACCTCTGCCTCCCGGGTTCAAGCGATTCTCCCGCCTCAGCCTCCCGAGGAGCTGGGACTACAGGCATGTACCACCATGCCCAGCTAATTTTTTTGTATTTGTAGTAGAGACAGGGTTTCACCATGTTGGTCAGGCTGGTCTCCAACTCCTGACCTCAAATGATCTGCCTGCCTCAGCCTCCCAAAGTGCTGGGATTACAAGCCTGAGCTACCGCGCCCAGCCGGGAGCATCCAGTTTTTCTTAACAAGGTCTGCCCTCCGGAGAAACTTATTTAATTACAGCCTAACCTGAAAGCATTTTATCAGACTCATAACTGACCTGGGGGATGTGAAATATCAAACTGCAGCACCTTCTGGCCATCCTGTTCCACCTACAGGGGGAAAATTCTGAGAAGCATGTGGGAAGTTCCCAGTCCAGAGGAACCAGCTCACCAAAAGATTGAGACCCAGTCACAGGAGTACAAAATGATTCTTGTCCCCCAGCACCTCACCACCACATTCATACAGGCCTGTTTACCAGTTCCTTTCACATAGTACTTCCTGTCCAGCTATCGAGGAAAAATTATAAGACATACTAGAGGGCAAAAATACAATTTGAAGAAAAATAGTATGCATCAGAACCCTTTAAATATAAAAGACTAGAAACCATACAACGTCTGATCTTAGGCCACAATGAAATTAGACTAAAAATCTGTAACAGAAATGTAGCTGGAAAATCTCCAAATACTTGGAGGTTAAACAACACACTTCTAAATAACACATGGATCAAAGAAGAAATCTCCAGAAAACTTTATAAATATTTTGAACAAAATAAAAATGAAAACATAACTTATCAAAACTTGTAGAATGCAGTAAAAGGTGCTTAGAAGAATATTTATAGCATCAAATGCATATATTAGAAAAGAAGATCTAGACTGGGCATGGTGGCTCACGCCTGTGATCCCAGCACTTTGGGAGGCCGAGGCAGGTGGATTGCCAGAGGTCAGGAGTTCAACACCAGCCTGACCAATATGGTGAAACTCCGTCTCTACTAAAAATACAAAAATTAGCTGGGCATGGTGGTGCGTGCCTATAGTCCCAGCTACTCGGGAGGCTGAGACAGGAGAACCGCTTGAACCTGGGAGGCGGAGGTTGCAGTGAGCAGAGATTGCACCACTGCACTCCAGCCTGGGCGATGGAGCGAGGCTCCCTCACAAAAAAAAAAAAAAAAAAAAAAAAAAAAGAAAGTCTAAAGTCAATCATCCAAGTTTCATCTTAGGAAAGTAGAAAAAGAACAACAAATTTAATCCAAAGTAAGCAGAAGTAAAGAAATAATTAAAATTAGAGAAGAAATCAATAAAATTGAAGACAAGAAATCAATAAAGAAAATCAATAAAACCAAA